AAAAAAAAATAGGCAAGACACAAGGTGAAAATTGTAGTACAGAGGTGAACATTTCACAAATCATTTTGTTCTGACTACTGAAAAAAAAAATGTTTTTTTTTTTAAACATTAAAAATCATCATTTTTACTACTTTAAATTGAACAAAATTCTTGTATAGTGAAACAAAACAAATGGATGAAACTCTGTTAGTTATTGCATAAACAAAACCTATAAAAATACTAAACTATTTTAAACTCATAAAATGTAATAATAAATACTAAACTATACTAAATCTATAAAATGCAATAATGAAACTATTCGGAAGAATATCTCTTTATAAATTATTGCAATATCATTTTAAGTATTTAAAAATTTATCTTCTGAAGATATGGAGTTTGAAAATGTCATCTAAAACCCGTAACTATACAGTTCCTATCTCACTGGAAAATCTAATATTTTATTAATAACGACCAATGAAATGCAAATATAACACCGTAGCGCAGCACTGCAATGCAAAAATAAACCGCTCTCGGTAGATTTCGAAAAAATTACTATTTCCCTTCTATTGCTAATACTATAAATGCTGAAATAGGATTTTAAAAATCTGATAAAACAAAGTTTAATTTTGAATAAAAAAAAAAAAAAGTCTTTAGTAATAAGTAGCTTATCATACAAAGCCAAACATATAAAAATCTTAATTTTGAATTCTTTGTCCCTTAAGTTGGTTTTTCTATTGAAATGCAAAGCTGGCTTGACTAATATGATAATAATAATAATATTTTTAAAAAAATTGAAACTTAGTACGAAGCACTTCAGTACTGAAACATTACTAAAAGTAAGCCAACTCAAAATAGTCAATTCCAGCAGATCAATTAATTTTTGTTGAATCTTTCAGTTCTGTTAAGCAGTGATTTTCAACCAGATTTGCTTGGAGGATCTGCAAATTTAGCAATTTGGACTATTGGCATAATATTTAGATAAACAAAATTGAGGAACTTAATAAATTTTTTGGGCAATTTGTTTCAAATCATTCACATGTTATCTACAATTAAAAATATTTTGAGCCTAAAACTACTGAAATATAATTAAAATTTATATTAATTCTAGTATGGATATTAATCGGTAAAGAGAAACAATGTAGTAGTTATTTCATACTTATAGTACTAGTTATAAAAAGAATTTTTTTCTGATGAATAAAAAATTAAAGTTCGATTATCACACTATATAACTGCAGGAGTTATGTAGAAGGGGAGGAAAAGCATGACATTGAACTGTAGCTTCACTTTTAATTGAAATTTTCAACCCGAGCACTACATTTCCCATAAAATTAATTCCTTAAAAATACAATAATATAAACACTTAAAATAATTTAGCTTCATTTTTATAAGCTTAATTAAAAATGAGTAATATAAAACATATATTAATTCTAGTATGGTTATTTTTAGTGAATATTTAATTTAAGAAATGTTAGGTAATCAAATATTTGCAATTCTGTAAGCCTTTAATGGTCTGTTATTTCTTCTGAGAAATAAAATACATCGAAAATTACTGAGAAAATATGTTTCTTTCCATTAACACAACATAATGTTCCATGAGCATACATTCACACTTGAAGGTGTGGCCAAAGTGATGAATTAGCTATTATTCGTAATAGCTGGTTTAAATATTAGTATACTTATTAATGTTTGGCCACAGCGGCATTCTTATGACAATCATTGATTCCCGATCAAGCAGATTTTAAAAATTTGAAATTTTGAAACTACAAATGAACAATTAGTTTTTAAACTACAAATAATGGAAATTATGAATTGAAATGTGGACTTTCAATGAAACCATAGCCATTCTCAAATAAAAACTAAAATACAATAATTCAAATAGTTTCCATACTTGATTGAAGGAATTTTTTTTTCTTACTAACTATTAACAATGTAAGCAAACTTAATTATACCTTAAATACATATAATTTCGTAAAATCCAAAAGAAATTATTATTGAACTTTAAAAAAATTCATAAATACCCAGGGTATTTAACCATAGTTACATGGATATCTAATCAAACAACATGGTACAAAAAACATGGGTATTTTAATCTATAGTTGGCAGGAATTGCTAGAAATTATTGTTTTTTATACCCCAACTCACTTTGCTACTTTTTTAAAATGTGGCATACAACAATGTCAAAAAAAGCAATTAAACAGATAATTTATAGGTATATTATCAATCAATTGTAATCATTAAACTAAAGGCTTACGTCTATTCCTACTAAAAGGTCCACTTAATACAATTCAACAACAATTTAAAGAGTACATAAAGGTGTTCTGGTATGGCAGTGTTTCCCAAACTTATGCCTTTTGTGTACCCTTTCTAAATTTTTCGTAACGCTGTGTACCACTAATAAAAAATGAATTTATTTTTTACTATAAAAAAATTGCACAAAAGTTAAAAACACAACTGGCTGTTGACGTCACTAATTATTAACTGTTAATTCTGCAAAAAATAGCCAATAAAAAGTACGTAATTGTAAACCTTTGCTTTTAAATAAAAATTTTTGAAACTTTCGTTTGTTGCAAGATATTTCGCTTAGGAATGCGTACCCCCGCTAAACTGTTCCCGTACCCCTGGCGGTACGCGTACCACACTTTGGGAAACACTGTGGTATGGTAATCTAAATCTAGTAAAAAACTAGCTTTTTCTGAGTAACTTTTATATGCTATAATATATTCACCTGAATAAATGTTTTTTCCCCCTCAAATTCTTGAAATTTTAGTTGTTTATATATTTCAGAATTATTAAATTTACATTGAAACATAAATATATAAATAAAAAAAATCACGCTAATTATTTATTTTTATAAATGCAATGCATTTAGATTATTATATGTCAGAGACAAACAAAACAAAAAATTAGAAACACAGACCAACAAAAATATAAAAAACAGTACTTCCACAATTTATATGAAAACAATAATGTAAATATATTACATTAATAGAAAAAAAATGAGGGACAAACAACATAAGAATGTGCAATCAAACAATGAATAGAACATCTCAATAATTAGCATGAGAAGTTGAAAATGCATGAACTGAGAACGTTACCAATAGGTTACAACATACAAGCAATGTTTCCTATATTAATATAAATAGCAATGAGAGACAGACAACAAAAAAATTATGATCTAGCCATCAATAAAACGTCATAAGAATTTATATCACAAATTAAATTATATTATAATAATTATTGTTTTAAAATATATTTTTTTTACTGAAATAAATGTTAGAAGGGAGAATTAAGGAGATGACAAAAGTAAGCCACTTGCAACGTAATTCTCCATTTTGATTTAACTCCGGTTCCATAAGCAACTAACATTAGAATATTCATTAAACAACCTGTTTGGGGAATTTTATAAGTTTTTTTTTATTTGTTATATAAAATCATTAAAAGTGCCTCAAAGAATTAAAAAAAAAAACGTAAGCAGAATGTTTTTAAAATCCTTTAAATTCAAGTTAAATAAAAAATATTAAAGGAAATAACATACTTTCATTAAATACTTATGAAAAAATGGAAGCATATGTAAATGACAAGATTCATAGAACAACACACATTGCAACTCCATGTGATACCAAATGCAGAGCAATCACGATATTTATTCTTCCGAAGCAAGTAATTTTTAATGCAGTTAAATCCCAAGTAAATATTCAAGACAACCCACAATATTAGAAGATTATCAATAAAGTACTTCAATTAAAGAGAGTGTAAAAAAAAAAAATAACTAAATTTTTCTACCGAGTGTCAAATCAAAAGTAACTACAGCGAAAGAATTTGAAGTGGGCGAATTAAGTAAAGAAGAAAAATAATCGGTTTTCATTATACATATAAAGAAAGTTTATAAAAATATTCTACTTAAAATTTCTATCATCTTCTTAGAATGTTATTATACAACTTTACGGGTTTATGAACATCGTTTATTTACATTTTGTATCGAAAGTAGTAGCAGTAAAACCGGCTGAATTAAAGGTTATGTTAACATAATCATGAGATATAATCATGCAACAGCATTGGCGTATGTTAATAGATAATTCTAATTCATATTCTTACTTTGAAATTACATAATTATGATTAAATAACTTACTTATTAAATCCTATCCATATAACGTATGCGTCTGACTAAAATATGTATATTTTCATTGGCAGTGTCTATTGCACCGACTATCGGTAAGATAGCCTCAGAGCTATCGCGCCGACGTTGACAACAGCGCCACTTTACAGAAACTAATTCATCGGTACAATAGCTATAAGTTATGCTTTTCTACCTGTGTATGTGAAATTGGTAATGGGTTGTCATTGTTTGATGGGTTGTCATTGTTTCACCAACAACAAAAAATTTAAAAATAAAAGAACATTATTTCTTTTTTCCTTAAAGCGTATAAAATTTTTCATAGAATTTTTAAAAACTAAATTATTTATTAACATTATATTGGATTTATTTAAATATATTAATTGTTTCTTTCGACTAATTTATATTTTAATTAATAATTTAAATAAAGTTTTTACTAAAGTACAAATAAAGGTGTCTTTTCCTACTTTTNCTTTTTCAAATTCATGAATGGCTATTTGTTATTCTTCATATGAAGAAAATCAAGATGATACAAAAATTGTAGCTGCCTTGACTACGATAAACAGAGCTAAATTATTTTTGAAAAAAAAATCGGAGAGTCACGTGGACAGATACGCTCTATGATTGGTTAAAAATTTGATCGGTAAGATAGCAAAATGAATATTACTGCGCCGATAATCGGTGCAATAGACACTCCGATTTTCATTTTTATCAAACAGCGGTCACCGTTAAACAGTTATAGAAATATAAAAATAAATTATTTCCTTCACCAATGTTTTCTTTTTAATGAAAAATTCACTTAAATCATTTTAAAAAAATGGAAGTAAATGGTAAAATCAACGAAAAATCAAACAGAAACTTGAAAAATTAGAAATTTAAAGCATGCACTTCTTAAAAAAACATAACTTCTACTTCCACTATATTAAACTGTCGACAAAATGTAAATAAAGGTAAGATGTTTTGGTTTTCATATTTAAAGAAAGCTTAATTTTTAAAAAAAAAGAAAATTAGGACAAACGGCTGAAAAAATCTGATGTGTTGAAAACTTTTCTAAGTTTATTTTAACTATCCTTTTTGTGAAATACTTGTTGTAATTAAGATTACGTATGACACGTCTTTGCCACCTGGAATGACAAAATAAACATTTACTCTATTGACATTGCCTATGCTAAGATGCCTGATCGTTCTGTCGAGTGTTTTCCGGAAGATAATGGCTGAGTTTAGTACTCTAACTTCATTTTATTTAAATAAGTACCTTAGTACTTTATAATGTTTAGCCGATTCACAAATGCGTTATATAGTGCGGTGGATGCCTTGGCACCGCCGCACTTATTACATGAAGACTTCGTTTGGCACTGGAAATCTATAACAAGATTCTATACTGGAAAAAGTGCATCGAATTCAGTGCCGATTGAATCAACTTCCATACCTGCTCATTTAAAAGAAATGCTTTCAATCCTTGAACAAGAAGAAAAAGAAATAGAGCTGGGAAATATCGGACCTTGTATGGAATACATGATGCAACATAAACTCCTGGATACCATGTGCGTGCTGGCAACATCTGATTCACCTCCTGGTATGAAGCAATGCATGTTTGCGTTTATCACAAAATCGCTTAACATAATACAACAGTCATTAATACCTCATGTGAGCATATGTGTTCCTATTCAGACTTTTATAAAACTTTGTGGTGAGGTGGTTGCCAGTCCTACTGAAACGGAAGAAATGGAATTCTTGTCTTCAATTTGTAATATTATTCAGGAAAACCCACATATGTACAATAGCTTTTTTTTAGGGGACACCGGGCCTGCGTCACGTAGAAACTCGTCCGTCTCTTCCTCCTCTAGTGATAGTAAAGAAGAAAAAAACGAATATGTCTTGATAGCTTCTCTGTTAAAACTTTACGGAAGTCCAGATAACAATATCTCCAACAAAGCAAAGGAATGCATTAAAACTTTATGCTCAGGTGCTAATGATACAATATCATTTTCTATCGTTCAATCAACCAGTCTTAGTCGTGTGCTTTGTTCCAGTATGATAGCGTTTTACAAAAATATGCCCGTCACCATCAAAATTCAAGACCTTGAAAATCCTATTTTTGAAGAAGAAGAAGGTGTTAAAATATCTCCAGACATGCGCAAATATTTGTGCTACTTGCAGCATCTAAATTTCATCGATACTGTTTGTGAAACGGCACATCCTTTGATAAGTGACGATATTTGCACGCACTTTAAAACCGAATTTCTCGATAGTTGCATCTATCCTTCCATTATAGAAAATGAAAACATTGATAATTTGTTATATGTTACTACCCTGGTTTCTTGTTCTATCAGAGCAATTAAAAGTCCTAAACTTATTGATTCATTTGCTAGACATTTACTCGATGACGATATTATACAGGATGTTGATTTAGCTGAAAGTTACAAATTGACGTTAAAGGATATTCTGATCGAAAGATGCAACAATTGCAAAGCGGATGTTGCCCTAGCCATTTGTACTTTACAACTTTTTGAAGAACTGTTGATTAAACCCACCCAATTCATCCTTAACAACCTAGTGTTGAAATATATAACAAGTCGGGGATATTACGACCACACGGCTTCTGATAGCTGGTTTCAATTTTCAGATGACGATGCTTGTAGCAGATATAGTGATGATGTTTCTGAAGAATCAGGCCCGTCATCTAAATTATACGTTAATAGAATTATCGAAGCTTTTATAGCCTTATTACCCGATGATATAAAATCTTGTGAGTCCGATGAAGAATCTGGTTATGAGACGTACATCAAAGAGGCTCACAATAGATTCATACAGTGCCTTATTGTGTGTGAAAATTTTGATTGGCCAGCAAATTTTCCAGAAAAAGAGGAAAACCATAATGGTACGGAGGACGATTCCAGTTCTGAGTCGCAACCAGAAGCAGATTCTGCTCGGTGGAATTTTTATGAAGGACCTTTTTTAAGAATGATTTTCGACAAACTGGAACAAATGTTGTCCCAGCCTTATGAGATTAATTTGCAACTGACTGCGATTGTTTCCCGTTTGGCACTATTTGCAAACCCTCATATACATGAATATTTTTTAAACCCGCTGATTCCTTATGTTCCTGGTGTTCGAACTCTCTTTACTGTGTTGTTTAAACTGTCTGAAGATATTCAGAAGGACGTGTCAAGTATTGGAGGCTTTAAAACAAAATTAAAATTGACTCGTAATGCATTATTAAGTGATGGTAATGAATATGCGACTTTTGAGGAATCAAATGTGTTGGAGGCTTTAATAGTATTTGAAGAATTCTGCAAAGAACTAGCTGCCATAACTTTTGTTAAATATCATGCTGTGTAACACATTGTAACTTTCTAATTTTGAAACATATTATGATTTAAATTTTAATGATTATTTAAACAATGATTTTAGTGGTTAAGGCTAATTTCAAAAGGCTTAGTACAGTCGAACCTGTTTATCTTGAATCTCACGGGAAAGGCAAAAAATTTGAGGTAAAGGTTTTTTTTTTTTTTAAGTTATACAGGTACTTAAAAAAAAAATTAAATTTAATTAAGAAATTTTATTAAAAGTGCTTCAATTGTTTTTAGGAGAAAAATAGAGGCATTTCTTTAAATTAATTATACCACATACATTTATTTACATAAAATTTTTTTAGCATACATTTCACACTGAAAAAAAATTTTCAAGGATTTTTTACGTTTAACCTTATTTGTTTCGATTATTCTTTTAAGGTTAGAAAGAGCGCAAATCCCTCATAGCCAACATTTTCCTGGGATTCAAGAATAGTTTATTAGAATTCTACAGGTTTTCTACCTCTTTTGCATTCACTTTTGGTTCATCAATGATCTTCAGCTTCTTCCTCTACATCTGATATTCCTTTAACATCTATGATTTCCGCATCTGTCAATGTTGCCAGGCAGTTGTCCACTTGTAAACATCATCAAAATTAATGTCAACATTAAATCCGGATTTTATTGCATTCCATTCAGGCAAATCTGGCTCTGCATTTTCAGCATCAACAGCTTCTTCTTTACTGATGTCTTCAAACTCATGTTCATCATCTTCACAGCTATTCTTAAAACCAGCTTTTTAATACCATTTTGAATAGTTTTTAGATGTACATTTCACCAGGCAAAACAGCAATTCTGATAGCATCTAAGATCTTTATTTTTGGAAGAGAACTTTTTTCATGGATGGCATCAACAAGTTTGCTTACCAACTGTTTTCTATAGTTCACTTTAAAACTCTTAATTATCCTTTGATGCAATGCTTGCAATTTTGAGGGGAAAATGAATTTCTATTCTTAGCTTTCCTGTCTATGTTTAAAAGCTAACTTCTGGTGGTCACTACTCATTAACCCCTCACTTACTGCCAGAATCATTGTATTCCTTTCTAATTAAGAAAGTGCAGGAATAGTGATTGAAATTCCAAAAAACACCCCCATCTTCGAATCTGTTCATTCCTATCTGAACCGTTCACACCCATCTGTACATCCCTACTTCCTGTGGGTTCACGAAATTCATCTCTGTCTGCAAGTTCTACTGATAAAGAAAGTTTTGACATTTGTGCTCTATTATTAGAAATTCGAGAAACATAGATTTTGAAGGAAAAAAATTTCCACACAAAAATGGAACTGATTTTAGACAGTAAATGTAGGAAATTTTGAAATGTAGAGGTTCGAGATAAACAGGTTCAACTGTATATAAAATATTAATATTTGTAAGGTTTAAAGAATACAAGACAAAATATTTTTGATAGCAATTTTTTAATGCAGTAATATCTCTGAGTAAGACTTAATGTATCCTATTAAAATTTAATTAAATAAATCCTAATTGACCTTAGGGTAGTAAGTTCAAGCTTTTATACTACAACTTTTGTTCACACCAGTTAATTTTTATTCAAAAAGCTGTTTTAAACTATTTATTAAATTTTGCGTTTTTAAACTAAACCAATATCTTAAATATTTTTTTTTCCATCCAGGGCACCTATTTCTATTGAACTGAATTATATGATTTTTTTTTATGGTGTGGTTTTCATTTTTCTTTGTAATTTGATTTTCACTTTAGAGAGACCACTCTGCAGAGTTCAGGGAAATATTGTCAAATAATCTACTGTTCTGAAGAAATTTTACCAATTTCTCTCTGTTGCTGAGAAATTTAAAAAAGGATAAAATTCTTTAATTTTTACTAATGAACTTGCACTTTTCTTGGAAGACATTTCTCTCAATTCTATAGAGTGTTTCCTTAGTTTGCGTGTAAAACGAGCCTTGCATGCATTTTTTGAAATTCTGCTGTCTGTTAAAAAAACCAATTTATCATAATATTTAACTTTTTTTAGAAATATTTAAATTTTTTATTTATCTGAAATTATATAAACAGGCTATATGTTAATATGTATACAACCTGCAACTCTTAAATACTTTGTGCAGCCTTCCCTTTCAAACCAAATAATATATTTAAAAAAAAAAAAAATTTAAAATGGTAAAGAAAATNTAAAATTTAATTTTTTTTAGAAATATTTAAATTTTTTATTTATCTGAAATTATATAAACAGTACTATACATACTATACTGTTAATATGTACACAACCTGCAACTCTTAAATACTTTGTGCAGCCTTCCCTTTCAAACCAAATAATATATTTAAAAAAAAAAAATTTAATTTGGTAAAGAAAATTTTTATAACTAATTCTTCAAACTAATTTAAATATTTTTTTTAAAAAAAAATAGAAATTATTAAAAGTCTTAAAATGCAAAGATCAAATTTGACCACTGATAAATAGAAATCTTACTCATGATTTTTTTAAGCGAAGCATGTTTAAAACACTTTTAGTTTAAGGGCATATCTTAAAATTAAAGATGTGAGCTGTTTATACATGATAGGGAATAATAAAATTATTTTTCAATAAAAAAAGTTAAACACTTACTATGTTTTTTTTTTTTATTTCTCTTTATCTTTGTTGTTAAACAGACAACTGTGCAAAATAGTTTATTTTTTATTTTGAAAGAACTATAAAAATACAATTCATTATAGTTTTTGTTGTTATTTAATGTAATAACTGAATTTATCAAGCCATTGAAAGTTGATTTATTTCTTTCAGTGGTTATTCTCTAAAATAAGTTGTGTATAGCCAAGTTAAAATATGTTATTTGAAGCACATTTGTTTGAAAACATAAATTATGTTTATTATAGCATAATTATTTGTATTAAGTCTTGTATTTCTAATGTAAATTAATTGATATCTAGTCTTTATTTATTTCCTTGTAAAATACATTTAAAATTTTTAGAAAAATGCTTTGTTGAATTGCATTTAGCTTTATTTGGGCATTGTTAACAATTATTTATTATAAGAGTATGGCATACTGAATATTAATGTGATCGAATAAATATTTACTTTTGCATGTGATTGAAATGTTTTTTTTTTTTTTTCAATGTAAAATTATTTTAAATACAGTGAAACTTCAATGACTCTAAACATCAAAGGGAAGCCAAAAATACTTTCAGTTATTGAAAATTGAATAAAATATATCATCTTTAGGTTTTTTATAACACCTTGGTCTATAGGCTGAAGTTTTTATATCAAGTTGGGTGGATAATGGATTGCAAATTTTGAGTCAGTTTAGAATGGGCTAGACCAGTGTCTCCCAAAGTGTGATACACGTACCCTCAGGGGTACAGGAACAGTTTAGCGGGGGCACGCGTTCTTATGCGAAATATCTTGCAACAAACAAAAATTTCACAAAATTTTATTCAAAAACAAAGCTAGCCATGAAAATTTACGATTACATATTTTTCTATTGGCTATTTTTTGCACAGTTAATAATTAGTGGTAGCAACAGCCAGTTGTGATTTTTAACTTTTGTGCAATTTTTTATAGTAAAAAATACATTCATTTGTTTAATAGTGGTACAGAGCATTAACGAAAAATTTAGGAAGGGTACACAAAAGTCATAAGTTTAGGAAAGACTGGGCAAGATAGTTATGTCAATGAATAATAAATTATTTTTTGGTCAAGTTTTGATAGCCATTCTTCAAAAATCGTATTTGTCATCCATTTTATTAAGGTTTAGTAAAATTTAAATCAATATTAAATTTATACAGCTGTGCGAAAACTCTTATCAAAAGGCTAGTAAACCAAACAGCTATCGAACTTTAGTAGAAACCAGAATTTTCAAATGAACTGAAGCATGATACATAAGGGCAAACTTATAACAATCTTAAAAAGCAGAAAGCTATGCATTTCTGCTACCATTCTGATGGTAGCTGAAGCAAAGCATCAGCTACCATTTCTGAGATCTCAAATAAAAATATTATCCATCCGTATCTGTGAAACCAAAATTGTGTTCATACTATAAAACATTATGCAATTGCAATCTTTCAATTGAACACTTTTTTTATTTGGTTGTAACACTCTGTTGTCAAGAGTTGAAAAAAATATTAAAAAACCAAGCAGTCTACAATTATTAAAAAATTATCATGTATGAAGACGTACAATAATCACGGAACTTTATTTATGAAGATAAAATATAAGGTTTGGGAAATTTTAATGATGCATTAAGATATACTAAGAACATTACCAGATTTGAAAATTATCAATTTCCTGCATTTTGCTAAGAAAAACCAAATAAATATATTTCAAAATTACAAGTAAATACAATCTAATAATGTTTTCAAAATAAAAACCACTTGCAGCAACAACATTGCAGTCCAAGAACAGAAGATATTTTAGTTTATTAGTACTTGTGAAGAAACTAGGTGAAAAGATTTATGGAATTTCTTATCAGTACATTTTTATCAATTTCAGTTTTCCTTTAAAATTGAATATTCAAATCTTAAGTTATTTTTGGGACACCTGGTACCTTATATATACATAAAGGAAAATAACCACTATCAAAATATTCCTAAAATAAAATTTTAATTATTTAATGACTACCAAAACTCTAGAGTAATTTACACAAATATACTATAAAAAATAATTATTTGCACAAGCTAATTTTTAAAATACTGACTATATGAATGACTATTAAGAACTTTTTCTTTTATTTAAGAAAAAAACATGTATATCCAGTTAATAAAATTAAAATTATAAAAAAAAATTTCATGTCTAAAAAATATTTAAGATAAATATGAGCTCAAACTGAACAAATCCATCATATGGCAAAAAAAAAGAGATAATGAGTAATAAATCAAACAAGTAAATATTTATTGACAAATAACATTTACATAATTTGTAAACAACAGTTCGTAAAATTATAATAAAAAAATAATGATTACACATACTATAATGCAAAATAATAAAATAAAGCATTCAATAGTAGATACATAGCAAAGAAAAGATCAAACAAAAAAAATAATGCAATTTGTGCAACTTAAGGATGTGAGTAACTTTAAATAATCTTACAAGTATATTTATAATTACATGCATTATATTAAAAAAAGAATAAAAATACAGCAAAAATTCAAAATATTTTAGAATTAAAATCTGAAAATAACTATTTCATAAGTCGTATTTGTGACATTGCAAAACAGTCTAAAACATCTATACAATTTGCTTATACTTAAAAAGCATTACCTTGCTTCATTTAAGAACACAAAACATCTCATACACTGGGACGATACTTTAAACTTTCAAACAATATAAATTCACATAAATAATGAAATCTAATTAACAACAAATATTAAAACTTTAAGAGTTTTGGGGCTCTTCCTTAGGTTTAAAAAACTAAGTTCAAACAAAAACTTTCCACAGATGACTTATATTTATTTCATAAATTATCTTTAATGACAAGTAAATAAATAAAAAAAAAACGATAAGGTACATGAAAAAATTGACTTAAATGTGCTATAACATATGCACAATATTAATGCAAATGTATAATTTCAATCTTAAACAGTCTTTTTCTAAGGAAAAATCTTTCATGAATAAGTAAATAAATAAAAAACGATAAGGTACATGAAAAAAAATTGATTTAAATGTGCTAGAACATACGCACAATATTAAAGTAGATGTCTAATTTCAATCTTAAACAGTCTTTTTCTTTGGAAATAAAATTTTTTTGAATGAAGTGTTCAAATGCAAACTTAATTTAATAACGAAGCACTATACAAAAATTTATATATTCTTTAGAAAAGTATTAATAAATTTAATATAATTGATTCATATAATTTATTTATATAGTTAAATTATTAATTGATTTAGATATGTATTAATTGATTTAAAAAAATTACCATTTCAAAAATTCTTATTTCTTTTTGTTTTGTTTTTGGTAAAGCTGAAAGATGTTTTATAGTTTATTAAGGTTTGTTTAGTTTATAACAGAGATTCTTAAAATGTGGTCAATGGACACCAGGGATCAGCTTAGTCAATACAACACACTTATATAAACAGGCTTTCTTGATGCAGCTAGATATAAAATCAAATTATAGAAACAAATTCAATGTGGAAGTAAATTAAGATTTTCTAACATAGAGATCAAAAGTTCTACTATGGTCTCAATAAAAAAGATGAACAATCCATCTTTTTCTAAGTATAATTTTTTTACAGAAAACATTAAAAGAACCATTTTGAAACTGTTTTATACTATTGTTTTTTTTTCATTTATTTTTAAAAAGTGAGGGTTTATTTATTTATTTTTTTTTAAAATTACTTAGTATAACATAATGCATTTCAGATTAGTAAGCCAGTCTCATAAACAAAGTAAAATGCTGTAATTGGAATAGGATTTGTAAAACAAAATGAGGTCAGCAAATTACAGATCTTGGTTTAAAGTTCTTATAAAACTGTATGATGCAGTAGGTACTGGAAAATACTGTTTCTCCAACTAAATAAAATGTAATCAGCATATTGATATAATATATTAAAATTTGTCTTTTATAAATAATTTTTATCACTAAATGATAAATTTTTCTTCTTTAGTATACATTATATTGCAGAATAAATTCTGCAATTCAACATTTCTGTCTTAAAATTGTTAATGTAAAAGCTTTACTGTATCAACAGCATTAACATACATTACTTAAAAGAAATTGGTCCACAGTTGAGATTTCATTTTAAATATTTCATTCAATATATCTCATTTACACTTGAGAATCTGCATTGTTTGCATAAATAAATTATTTAAATAAGAAATAATTTTATAATTTAAGTAATGTATATTAGCATCATCTAAACGTATAATAAACTTTGAAAAAAAAATGCATTTGTTATTTGAAACCTATTTTTGCAAGCACTAATATAAGTAACAACTATCATGAAATAAGATTCAGAACAAAAATAATATTTTTCAGTGTCATTATTAGAATTAAATTGAAAATTTATAATTTTCATACTCTTCTGGTTTAATATACAATCTAATTTTAATCTTATTATCCATAATAAATGCTAATAACTATGGAAAATAACAAATATAGCATAAATTTGAATGTGATCAAAATATAAATACTATGCTGAAGATATGTTAGTCATTTATGATTTTAAATATTATAGACAGTAAGTAATTTTTAAACTAAATAATTAAGAATAAGGAACACAACACCAATAAGGCATTTTATTTAATCCAAAGGAATTGAATGCTGCCAAAAAAATCTTTAATATTTGAATATAAATATCTAGTTTAAGAGCAAGTATACATGCATCTTAATTTCAAGGTAAAAAGTATTCTCTTCAAAATAGGATTCTTTTATTAAACTTAAAAATATTATAAATGGACAGCTGATTTGAAATGTGTTTACCTCTGAATTAATTTTTTTTAAATCAAGAATACTGTTGATACTAATTTATTTTAAACAAAATTGTGTGACAATTAAATTAAGTTTGCTATAATTAGTATTTTAAGCAATATTTCTCATTTCAGAAATAAAATTAAAGAAATCTGATTTAGTAAGCAGTAGTTACTAAATAAAATAAATTTGTTCTTTTTTTTGTGAAAAAAGGTTTTATGACATTCATAAATCGTTACTCCAATTTCTGTCTAAACATTTAATTTCAAACATACAATATTTTCATTTATTTATTTAATTTGGAAAATTTTTTTAATCCAGTGTAATTTTATAAATTGAAGTGCTATTTCATTAACTTTTTAAAATCTTTAAAACCATATGTAGATTTGTAGGAATTAATTTTTTTTAATAAAAAAAAAGATTATAACAGTGATGATTTAAAAACACTCTCATTTAGATTTTCAATTACCAAATAATTCAATTAAAACCTTAAGCATTATCTTGGCAAAGCTGTAAAAGAAATGACTATACACATCAAAATGAAGAGATTTTCATCAGTAAGTATAAATCATTCAAAATTTAAGAAACTTCCACAATATTTTATCATACAAAAAAGATTTCATGAAATTCACATTATACACTAAACATCTGATATAACAGTTCAAAAGTATGAGATTTAGTTTCTCAAATTATTATTACCTAATATATTTAAAATTAAATAAAACACAGTCGAACCCTGCTATAATGAAACTAGAAAATAGTGAACACTCGGTTGTAATTAACTTTTTTAGAAGTTCCATCTGAACTCTAGTTTAACAAACATTATTTTAATAATTAAATTAAACATTATTAAATTTTATTTAATTATTAATTAATTAAATTTTATTTCCTCAGTATTTTTTCCCTTTTCATTTCTCCAACTTTTAATTTCCAGGAGTTGTGATTGCAACTCACAGCATTTTTTTTCTTACAATGTATCAAATCTCACTATTGCAAGTTCCGCGCTTTCAAACTATGGCAGACAATCCTCTCACATTTCTTTTCCACACACATATTGACGGACAAGAAATTTCATTAACTTATATCTCAGAAATAAAATCGGCATTAAATATTCTGATTTTTTTTTCATGCAAAAACTAAGGACTAGAAATACTGGGTTCCAGTAATTGTTTAAACTAAAATTGGTGGACTCTTCTTAAAATCAAACTGTAGTTAATCAAAAATCACTAATTCATTCCATAGAATGTAAAAATTAATTAGTTAATCAGCTAAGATATCATAAAAAAATTATGAACTGTCACAATTTCCAACAATATTATTGCCATATGCATACTTGCCAACATTGGAGAAATAAAATAACGGAGATTTAACCAGCAGAATTTTTTAGGCTATGAGTGAAGCTTTGATACATCATGCATAATTATGTAAGTCGAAAAGAGAAATTCAAAATAATATATACATTTACCTAAGTAACAATTATGTTTATAAAGGATAATCTAAAGAAGAATTTTTTAAACCATTATTAATAAATACTTAAACTATAAACACTTAACATACTGCAGTACTGACAATAACACCATCTGTTGAGAAATAAGAGAGGTATTTTTGCCATCAATGGGTAATTTAAGAAACAAAATTTTTTTCCACAAATACAGATAAATTTGAGAATATATGGATAAACAGGAGATAGTCATAAAATACAGGAGTCTTTGTTAAAAAACAGGAGACTTGGCAGGTATGCATATGCTAAAAGAATATTTTTTCAAAGAATTTTTATATAGTGAACTATCGTTTATAGTGGACTTATTACTAGATTAGCAAACATTTCACTATAAGGGTGTTCGACTGTATTAATTAAAAACATGTCGTGTTCTATAGTGGAGAGCAGGAAACTAAAAAATATTCAACAATGCTGGTAAGCAACATTCCATAAATCTGAAAGGATTATCACAATTTTATGGAAGTTTATCATGCACACAATTGCATTCTTGAGAACTGAAATAGTAATAAATTAACTACCAACGCAATGAATTTAAGTTGCAACAGTAGGAGATGGAAACATCATGGAACATTTCATTCTGGTTCGGAAGCCTATTCACAAAATGAAATGTGAAACATTCTCATTCTATAAATATAGAATCAACTTCACAAACATTGTATTATTTTTTTTTACTATAAAATTGTGTAAAACAATTTTTTTAAATTTTAATAAATCAGTTACTGAATTTAAACTTTTGCCCAGCTCTTGCATGAGGAGCAACATTACTGAAACCGGGCGTTCGGTTTGGCGGAAAACCAGGTGTTCGGTTCGGCTGAACTTCTGCAGTTATTTTGAATAACTGAATGTTCATGTGATTGCATATTTGGTTACACACAATAGTGCAGTAATGAAGCAAGTCTGCAACTGAATACACCTGAAAAAGAAAAACAATATTTTATTTCAAGCATATATATATATAAATATATATATATAAATAGCACAACAAAGACAAAAAAAGAAAAGAGAGAGAAAAAGAAAGTCATTAAGTATTATTTTTTTTAAAGTATTCCTCACACTATCGTATTGGTATATTTTGCTTTTACTACATTGATACAATATTAGAAAGCACTCCTTTTGCGGATATAATTGTGTGAGTTGATGAAGAAATTATATCTTTTTTTGGATTTGTTTTCCAGATTTTTAAAAAGATTTTTTTAAAATTTTTTTAGATAAATAAAAAATTTTTTTTAAAAATAATTTAATTTTAATGGTTTTTCTTCTTCTCTTTTCATTAGTCTTTATTATTTTCCATGTTTTCTCATTACATATATATACAGGGATGAGATTAGCCAAAAAGCTGTTGGCTAATCTCAAAGGGTTGCGCTTGCGTAAAGCAAGCGCAACCCTTTAAGTTTAAGGTAATAAATAATGTGTTGACATACAATTGTGTACTAATCTATCATTATATAAATGATTACATTGATACTTAACATTTTTTAGTGAAAATAAAAATTACCACCTGAAAAAATAAATCTGGAAATTATATTTTCCCCCAGTTCACATAAGAGACAATTATTACTTGAAAAACTACCTGGTTTAGCAAATTAAAACTACTGAGAATATACATTAATATTTCATTTCTTTTAATAAATACTGTAATGTGATTTATAGCAAATATATCAGTAATAATCAGTAATCTTTTTCCCCAAAAACAAATTAAATTAAATCTCTTTTTAAGTTATTGCTTTTGTTCGCTATATCTTTTATGTTTTCTACATTTAGTCGTTAGTCCATCTTCAAACATCTTGTGACAAATCCTATTTTTTCTTCTTTGCAAGCACAGAATGTAAGTTTTGAATATATTCCCTTCCAGTTTCTCTGATGTTGTAACACTTACATATACTAATAATCGTCCTTAGAAAAACAGTCACCTTTATAGTAACTAATTTNCTTTTACTACATTGATACAATATTAGAAAGCACTCCTTTTGCGGATATATTTGTGGATATAATCATGTGAGCTGAAAAGATATCTTTTAATTTTTTTGTTTTCTGGCTTTTAAATTTATATACATATTTACATATTTTTAGATATTTTTTAACAATATTTCATTTTAATAATTTTTCTTCATCTCTTTTTCTTAATCTTGATTATTTTACATGCTTCCTCTATATTCTCTCTCTCTCTCTCTATATATATATATATTTACAGATTAATGAAAAAAGGGGAAAAAAGAAAATTAATAATAAAAATAACAAAAACTGGAAGAAGAAAAAAATCCGATAGAAAGGAAAGAATTCTTTTAGAATAAAAGAATTCCATCCAGAAGAATTTATATCCAGAAAATAAAAGATATAATTCAAAAGATATTATCTTTTCATATCCGCGGATATAATCGTGTGGGCTGATGAAGAGATTATATCTTTTATTTTCCTTATATCTTTTATATATGATTTAAGATTCGTTATATCTTTTATATGTGAAAGATTTTGGATATGAAAAGATTATATCTTTTGCTGATGAAAGATATAATCTTTTCATCAGCAAAAAGATATAATTCAAAAGATATAATCTTTTCATATCCGCGGATATAATCGTGTGGGCTGATGAAAAAGTTATATCTTTTCTTTTCTGGATTTTTTAAAATAATTCTTTCCTTCTTATTGGATTTTTTTTTATTCAGTTTTTTTTATTTTTATTATTAATTTTCTTTTTCCCCCTTTTTCATTAATCTGTAATTTTCCTTTGTATTATCTTCATTTTGAACTTATTTTATGAGTCCTATTTACTTGCAGCTTATGTGCAATAAATGAAACTTATTGTTTTTCTTAATTTTCTTCGTGATTGCCGTTTTGTTGTTTCCATTCAACGATCAAAAATTGAAAAATGGATAGTGTTTGTCAAAGAGGCTCAAATTACCAAATGGTCAGTCAGGTATACGAAAACACTGATACCTATGTGGATAACCTCGGAGAAAGTCATGTCCACATATAATTTGCAAAGATCTCTTTGAACTGAGAATATGGCTGGATCAGATTTTTTCGAAAGCATTCATACTTTGGCAATTTTTAACATAGTTGTTTGTTGTGCTCAGAATGAAAATTTGATATTCAAATAGAGCAAAAAAAGGCAGAGGAAGTCAACATCCCTTGGTCAACTCTCTCATTACCAGGTAAATCAGATTGGCAGAGAGCCTACTTACTTTTATAAATTCTAATTACCACAAAAATGCATCCACCTTTGAATCTCAAATCATCTTTTAAATATGAAACTGTACTTAAGTTCACCTAGTACACATTTGACACATGGCACTATAGTTTGAACATTTTAAACTATAAATTTTAATAGATTTGAAAAAAAAAGAATAAAAAATAATTATGATGATATTGAAGCACAGAGATTCAATTATTTTAGAGCACAGAGATTTATTTTAATGAGACCTGTAGCATACATTTTATTTCCCAAGAAGAAAATAGGCCTGGCATGATATCTTAAATTAAATTACAATATTAGAGAATGAATTATAAAGACAAAGTATTATTATTTTTTTTTAGATTACTGAAACTATTATTAGGACCTACAAAGCAGTAATCTTTTAAATAGTTTAGTTAATTTTAAATAATCCATATGGATTTTGTTAAAAATACTGCCAGAGCAGTAACTCTGACACACAACCATCAGGAAATACAAATAATGAATTTTACATAAAAGATAGTCTGGCGTAAATACGGGCTAAAAACATTATGAATACACTAGGGGTGGAGAACACGCGACCTGCCAACTATTGATTTGAGGCCCGCGAAAGCTTCTCAACACAATTTTCTTGAAGAAAAAAAAAATTTCAACAATTTCAAATCCTAAATTTGATTAGACTTTTTGATGCGCTCAATTTACAAAGATTCTATTGTAAATCTATGTTGTTTCTCAATCACTTTTTCAACAGTTATAGATACAAAATTCCATAGAAAATGGTCATTCATACGAATTTTAATACAATATTACGATGCACAAGTTTCGAATTTGAGTAATAACTTTTTGACTCGCATTATTTTGCCGATTTTATTATGAATCCAAGTAAAATTTCAAATGTTTTCTGGCATTTATAAATGCCAATTTCCATGTGATTTTTATAAAATTCCAATACTTTATTACAATATTATGAATCGCGAGTTATAAATTGCGCATTTAATTGATCACTCTTTGACATGCTTCATATTTGCCAATTTTATGATAAATCTAATGATTTTTTTTAAACGCAGTTATTGCTACATTTTTGCATGTGATTTTAAAAATCCCTTATTTTCACTACAATATTATTACGACACACGAGATTCAAATCGCACATTTAACTAATCACTTTTGAAGCGCTTTGTTTTTCCGATTTCATAGTAAATCCAAGTTATTAGTTAATCATTTTCTTGACAGTTTTCGCGATGCGTTCGCAAGGGGCTAAAAAATTTCTCAATTTTATTTTAAATCACAATTAATAATTTTAATACACTAATTTGGAATAGATTCATTTAAAAAGTAATCTAAAACAAGATACCTAAGTCTTTAATTTCATAAATGTTAAACAAGAACTTGAATATTACAATTTAAAAAAAATGAAATGTATAATGACTTACCAAACAAAGCCACAAGATGATATATTCATTTATAAAGGTATTAAAATATTGGTTCATGAACAACATTCCAGGACCAATAAGGATGGAGTCAAAGTAATCCAGCTCACTTCTAGTCATATGAGCAACCTAAGAATTGTATCATTAATAATGAATAAAATTGCCATAATGAAAAATTATAAACAATGAATGAGCCACTTAAAAGCCATGGCAATAAAAAAGTAAAGCTTTCTATCAACAGCCAATTGTTGTCCAAGGGATCATAGAAGTTTGGAAGTTAAGACTCCACAATTTTGAGACCAACAGTATGAGGGTGATAATGCAACCATTGCACATTAGCTGCTTTTAAACCTTAGACTGAATTATAATCATTAATTTAAATGCAGGCAGGACTGCGGGGCCAGATTTCTAGTTTTTTACCATGATAGATGAGTGCCTTATCTCCTTTGCCATTGGGGCTTTAATAATACCAATAAAAATATGCAAAAATTTAGAAATACAGTAAGACCCTGCTTAAAATGTGTAGAATATGTTCCATCAAAGTAGAGCGTAATGCGAAACAGCGCTAAACGAGGCTATCTTAGCATGTAAATAATGGGGTTAGGGGAAGATGGATAGAAAATTGGTTAGGTATTAAATTTAATAATTATGTTTTTTTTTAAATAAAAATAAAACCAAACATTTATTTCTTACAAAATTAAAAACAATATAAACGAATATACGTACTTATAAAAACAAATGAAATTCTAAGTCAGTCAGATCATTCAGTCTATTTTGTGTTTCCAATTTACTGCCTTTTTGTCAAGAAGGCATCTAATGTAATTTGTGTTTTCCTTTTGAGTTCTGTTAGAAGTTGTTGATAAGTGGATAAAGCATCTATAACACTCCGTCTAGCTTCTGAACTCCTGTCAAAATTTGGATCATTTTCAACAAATTGGTCCATAATACCAGTTATAGTGGTCAAACTCCTCTTTACAAACGCCATCGAAAATTCTGTTTGCTCTTCTTCGAAATCACTACTATCAATATTTTTGTTTTCTTCTTGCTCAGTTAATTCCTTGAGCTCATCATTAGAAAGACTAGCTGCTGTTTTTTGAACTATTTCTTCTATGTCTTCCACATTTACCTCATCTAAACCAGTTTGTTTTGCTAATTCCACTATTTCTTCCGCTATTTCATCCATATGTACATATTTGGGGGAGTCCCTGAGCACAATTTTGGGGAATTCCCGGGTTGAAATAAAAGAGTGCTAAACCGAAACAGCGCTAAACGAAACAGCGTTAAGCGGGGTCTTACTGTGAGAGTAAAATCATACTACAAATTTAAGACAAACTTTATTTTAAATGCAGGTACATATCAATTGAATATTATTATTTATATATAATATGGGCAAAGTAATTGAAACAATTCTATAGTAATTCATTTTCTCATATTTCTCAAGAAATAGTTAGAGAATTATTTTATAACTTCAGAAGTGTTTAGATAATGCTATTTCTCATATATATCAGTTAAATTTAAAGCTTTTAGATGTTTCAGGGACTGATAATAAATTAAGAAAAAAAATTTGAAATTGCGAGCAAACGAAATGCGTCTAAACTTATGCGCACTTATAAAGCCTGTTTCTCCACTGGCTCAGCCTACACACACGTGTACACTTATGTATTTCATGTACAAGATTTGTATTTATGTCTAAAAGCAGTGGTTTCACATTCAGTTCAGTTCTTTTCATGAAATTCAAAATACATGCAAATTCTCTTAATTTATATTACCAGTGTATGTAACCAAATAAGATTCAGAACAATATTATGAAGAAAAAAACATTTAAGTGTTTCCTATGCATGCACAGTAAAAAGGATTAATTTAAATGCTCATATCTTGCATAATTTTTAACAATTTATTTTATTCAAATTGTGTTTAATTTTATTGAATATTTGTAGAGTTATAGTTAGAAGAACCTTAAGTGTTAAAAAAAATAAATTATTAAATTGTATATGAAATAAGAGAAAAGAAGTTATATTAGAAATGTTTTCCAAATTTTATTTTGCTGAAAAAACAATTATATTAACCTCTTCAAGGACAATTTTGTTTTAAGTTGGAAAAAAAATATTTGACTTTTTTTTCTATACAATTTATTTATTTTATATTAAAGAAATTTAAAATGCAAAACAATAATAATTTATAGAACAAATTCATGACCTATTTATGAATACTGAGCGTTAATGGTAATTCATGAGTAAGATAGTTTCATATATTCCGGACACAATGGTTCTTCACATTTTTCAGCAATGTAACAAATTGTAAAAAGTATTAAAATGAATGCATTTCGTTGCATGCTTACACAAAATGTTATATTATAATTACGAATGTATTTAAAACAGGAACCACCTTGAATATGTCATTTCTTATTAAAAAAAACTAACAAATATTAACAATTTGTTCACATAATCCAACAATGTCTCTGTGAAAAATTACTTCACACTTATTTTACATCTTTAACAACTGTACATCAAAATAATAGTGTTATTATTGCAGCCAGGTTATAATTGCATTGCTTCTTGAGGAATTCCTCAATTAGATTTTTTTAAATTTATGACACTAATCATTACAATAAAAAAACAAAAGGTTCACAGAGGTGGTTAACGTCCTGAATAGGTTGATATTCTACATAATTAAAAATATTTGAATAATTAAAACTGCTCAATCATGAAGAACCTGTCACTCTTTAAAATCAGTTGATTCGCTTCTAAAATAGTATATTAATTAATATATAACACAGCAAAATCAGTTACATACTAAAAAAATTTTTTTACAGTTTTAAAGTAAGTGTATTAACTTCATAACTTGTGTGCTGGAGTTAATTCAAGCGTGCTAAACAGACCAAACTGCGCACACTCAAAATAATTCGAGCGGCGTTGTATTTTATGCTGCTATAATTTTTCACACTCGAATATAATCGAGAATTGAAAATAACAATGTGTTTTTTAATATAAAAAGTGCTTTTTTACACAAAAAATTGATTTTTTTTGGCAAGTTTTTTTCAAAAAATCTATGCATTAAGGGGTTAAACAAAGGTCAACTGTAGTACTGCTTAGTCTTATAATTTGGAATTTGTAAGCAGAAAACATTTCATTTTTTTACTTTTTAATAAGTAATTATTTTTTAAAAACTTACTCCAGTTTGATAAGTAATTTTTTTTAAATTTTACATCAATTTTTTGGCAATTAATTAAGATAGTACAAAAACTAGAATCGATTCCACATATATAGAGTAAAATAAAGAAAAAATTTTTGAAATAAATAAAAGAAAAGATTTAAAAAAGAACAATAAATATCTTACCACTAATTTGTTTGTAACTTTAGCAGCTACTATGCCAAATGCTAATATATAAAGACAAGGATGGTTTTCATAGATGTTTTCTGTTGATTTTTTGTAAATTGTAAATGCAAGAATTGTTACAATTCCAATTGGTATAGATGGTGAAAGAACACTAGTACCCTGAAAAAAAAGCTAATTCTCATGAAAATTCATTCACAAAATAATGTATCTATCAAACATTTGAAAAACAAGCACTATCAAACCTTAATATTATTTTCTCACAACTAAATACAGTGAAAAAATTTATGAAATATACAATATTCAAAGCTTCTTAGTGATGAGAAAGCTCAATATATATAACTTCATTAGCATATAAATTGTTTCATTTAAACTTTCCTTAAACAATTTATTCTGCTCATTCTAATAATATATCAAAACTTAAAAATAACAAAATTTTTTTCCCTTGATTATCAAAAGAAAAGAAAAAGCAACTTTAAAAATCTGTGTTCTATACTTTTTTTTTTTCACCACAGAAAATAAACATTTTCTATTTAAGATTATACAGTGTAAAGTCGCGTATCCGGAATCGGTTGGACTTCCAGAAGTCCGTATAATACATTTTTCCGTATAATTGACCCCCAAGGTAAACAAAGCTTAAAATGATCTAATATACAATCTGAGTCTAAGAAGCAAAACATAAATAAACATTATTTTTAAGGGGAATATTGTTTTAGTATTATAATATCTAATCAATCAAACATAAAATATGTATTAGAAAAAAAATATTATTGCTAAAAATATAGAAAACGAAAAAATTTGACAGTTATGAAAATATTAATCCGCCATTTTGAGCTAGAACGATTCAAGCAAAAAGGGGAAATTCACTTCATTCTGGAACAAAGCTTAAAATGATCTAAATCTAAGAAGCAAAAATAAATAAACATTATTTTTAAGGGGAATAATGTTCTAGTATTAGATTATCCAATCAATCAAATATGAAATATTAGGAAAAAAAATTTTTGCTTAAAATATAGATAACGAAAAAAAAAAATTGACAGTTGTGAAAGTAATAATCCGCCATTTTTAACTAGAATGATTCAAGCAAGAAAGGGAAATTCCCGTCATTCATTAAGGTGGGTAGGTGGAGGAGAAAAATTCATTTCCTCCTTATTTGTGAAAGAAAATAAGTGTAGAGAGGAGATCATTTAAGTTGAGGGTGGGGAAGTGACAAATTATTGTTTTCTCTCCAATCATTGGCTATCAATCAAGCATAAAGGCGGGGTACGCTGATGGGGTTCTCTTTATTTTTTCTTGTATGACTGAAAGAATNCAAGGACTACTGGGTAGAATCAATTGAAGTTTTCACAAGCAAGGCTTGCTATATCAGCTGTGAAAAAATATAAATAAATCCCCTGTTAGGAAAAGACTAAAATACTTCCCAAACAACCCAGTAGTAAATGACAATGGTAATAAAGCATACACAAAATAACAAGAAAAAATTATTACAAGACTCAGACAGTTACCAGACAGTTGCATAAAAAAATGTTTTGAACCCAATTTATGGACCTATATAGCATAATATATGGGCTCTAAATTTAAGGTGTCTGTCAGTGAGAGACCACTAAAAATAGACTGAGACTATCGTGAAATAATTATCAATGGTCCCCAGCAACTGATCACCATCAATCAAATGTGAAGAGATAATATACTAATTTGGTTTTCTACTTTTTAGTTTGGTGTTTTTGTCTCTGTTTAATTTACAAAATAGCCTATTTGGTCATAATTGTAAATATTACACATGCACGAAAAGCTTTCAACCAATTTCCCTTTTCTATAGTTTTTTTAATTAATTTTAATGTTTAACATAATGATCTACTAACGATAAATATCTACATGTCAACAGTTCATAAAACATAATAAAATTTTGATTCATATAAGGCTTCCATTTGAATTTTCATTTACATTATTAACAGAAATGTAAGAGCACAGTATTATTAAACTTATTTTATTTCATAAACGTTCAAGTACTTTTTAAAAAATCTAGTAGACACAAGCAATTGAATCATTTAAAATGAAAAGATAAATTTCTCAATATAAAAAAATAATAAAAGTACATAAAGTGTAAAGGTAAAATGGTTGAGCTACATTAAAAAAGCACATATTTATCGTGATAAAATAATAGTAATTGATTTGTTTTTAAGTTGATAAATTGAATTGCTATTTCACTTTCAGTAAAAACAATGGTTCCTTCAAGCAGTTTCTTTTCGTGAAAATTTATTTATTTGCAAAGAAAAAGGTTCCTTTTCTTGTGTATAAGTAAACTTATAAATGTTCAAAAACATTAATTAAACGGCCATCTAGTTATAACAAATATAAAACAGAGGGCAGGAATAAAATATCAGTTTCCTGAATTGATAATTTTGAAACAATTATCTTTAACAAAATTTATAATTAATTTTTATGATACAATCACAAGTGAAAGCTTAAAAAATTCATCAACTACGCATAAAGATACTAATATTAAACTCCCTTGCAAATTATTATTTTTTTGATTCACAAATAATTAAAATAACTAAAGAACTTTACAAAATCTTTTAACGTTAACATGGAGAGATCAATAATAAATTATTAATTTTTGTTAATTCAACTAAGATCATTAAATTCATGCTGTAGAAATTTGAACTTCATGTAATTATTCACATAATCAATACATTACAACAGGTAAAAAGTTTTTATGTCAAACTATTGTTCTGTTATATCACAAAAAAATATACTTTTAGCAAATAAATATCTCTCTGAAAACTGTTGAAGTGCTATGGAATTCCAAAATTTTTAAACATTATCAGAAATACATAAAAAAAAATTACAATATACAAGTTATCCATGCCAGCCAACAATCAGAATCTTTCAAGGTTAATTCTGGTGTTAGACAGGGTTGTGTACTTTCTCCAACAATCTCTTCAATTGCTATTGATTGAATTATAAAGAGAGTATCGGAAAATAAAAGGTGTATAAGATGGAACCTTGCTGAATATCTCTCTGATCCTGTAGACCCCCGGTCCGTGGGTCAAATGGTACCGTGCCGCCCATTTCATTGAAACTAAATTTAAATTCCTAGGTTTATACCCAAAATTAAAAATATCTGTGTTCTATCAAAAAATTTTTTATTTAAAAAAAAGGGGTCCCCGAAGGTAGTGACATAAATGTTTTAATGTTTGTAATGTATCATTGTCTCTGATTACCCCCAAGTGGAACAGTCTCATTGCAAAGAAACAAGCTCAGGGTTCTCATTGATTTAATGTTCGAGTAAGTTAAAATGTTAAATCCCTTTATAATTATTTTTTGGTATAACTACATTTTATTTTGAAGGCATGTTTAAATACAGTTAAATTAAAATTAATAAATCAAAATAATCTAAAATAAAAGCAATCAGCCCCCTCCAGCAGGCCACGGTAAAATTATCAAACGTTGACAGGTCCACGGTGATAAAAAGGTTGGGGAACACTGCTGTAGACGACTTATATTTTATGACCAATACAGGCAAACAAACAGAAACATTTTAAACGTAGAGGCAAAGAAAATGGGGCTTATCAGCCAAACTAAAGCTAAAATTTTGAAAATGAATCCTAAACAATAAAATGACATATTCTTAGGAAATAATAAACTAGAGGAAGTAAGTAGTTTTACATATCTTGGAAGTATAATCATCAATAAAGAAAGAACTGATGAAGATATACTAAATAGATTAAACAAAACCAAAGCAGTTACGCTCTTCTTAATAAGTTCTGGAAAAACAAAAATATAACAAATTCAACAAAAATTTGAATTTTCAATATTAATGTTAAATCTGTCCTACTATATGGATATAAGACATTGACATGGCACTACATCAAAAATTAAACATGAAAAAACTTCTAAACAACTTTTTAAGAAGAATCTTTCGTATCAAGTAGTTCCATAAAATTTGTAATGTAGAAATCCTTCAAAAAGCAAAACAGAAGCTGATTGTTCGGGAAATTAGAAAACATAAATGGAAATGAATTGGTCATGTTCTATGTAAACCTAAAAAATTTAAAGTAAAAAGGTTTTTGATTGGAACCCTAAGGGCAATAGAAAAAGAGGAAGACCTAAAACTACTTGGCGCAGGACGATTGTAAACGAATTGAAAACAATAGGAAAGACATGGAGAGAGGCAAAATATCTGGCCACAAATAGAATGAGAGGGAAAGTTATGATAGAAGCCCTATGCTCCAATTAGGAGCGAAAAGGAATATGCATGTATGTATTTGATGACCTACTTTCTTACTTTAAGATGGAAAAAAATAGCCCAAAAGTATTTAAAATTAATGCTTAACATATAATTATTCAGAAAATTTTTTTAAATAGTTTTCTGAATGAAAATGAATAAAAAAAAAAAAAAATACATACAGCAACAGTTGATCCATTTTTTCCAACACCACCTTTACAAACAACAGCAACATGATAATAACACAAAGAACAAGTAACACCAAGAGCCAGTAATATTGGCAGTACACGAAGTTCGATGTTTAGAAATGGAACCTAAAAAAATAAAACAAGATAAGGAGATTAATAAGTCGAAAATTATAATACTAGTAATTTTAAGAGAATTATTAACATTGAAACTAAGAATTAAATTAAGAGATGCATCAAGAGCATTATTAGGACTTGCAGATACCAAATGTAGGCGGGTAAAACTGTGTAATGTAGTACATGAATAAAAACTGGAGTATTTAGATCTACCTATAATATTATAAATAGTCAAAAAGGCCTTATTTTTAATAGCAGATGTCTACATAATTTTATTATAATTTCATTTTTTAACAACACTTGACTCGTTCTATGTATTTACATCTACTAAAGATGACTTTTTATTTTTGAGGGTTGAGACCACATTGCTCAATATAGATTGGAATTATAGTTATAGGTTTGAATTTTCTTCTGTGACACTGATCTTAATCAACTGACCTTGAATTTTGGGAAGCATTTCACACTTTCAAAAACTATAATACAATGGCCTTTATCAAAACCATAATGGCAATAAAATAAGTGTAATAAATTTAAAATATTATGAATACATTGTAAAATCTTAGCATTTAGAAAGTACTCATATATTTCCAAACATCAAAATAAATAAAAAATTATATTTTTTTAAATTTAACACATTTTTAAAAGGTATTATTTCTTTTTCTTAACTCACTTAAAAAAAATAGTTAATTAGTATACTAACATACAATAGAAAAATCATAAAATCTATTGTAAAATATAAAAATCATAAAATCTAATTTTACATAATATCTGACATTTTTGTATAAATAACAGAATCTAAAAAATGTCTTTTTCAAAAACTAATTTTTTTAAAAAGTTTTTTGAAATTCTATTCTAGCATTGAGAGCATTAGTAAGGTAAAGAAAATAGATTTCAAGCTATTTTTCTCAATATCTATTATGAAACACTTACGCTGTTTTTTCAATTGTATGGCAGTATACAAGCAAAAGTTTAAAGCAATATTTCACAAATATTTGTTGTAATATATTTAAGAATTATTTGTAATACATACAAATTTTATTAGGAAAAAAAAAACTGCATTAAAATTTTCAATATAAACATAATTCTTAAAATCTTTCAATTTGTCAGCAAAATATGCTTCTCAGTACAACTTCTGCAAATTATTTCACTGCATTTATAATAAAATAAAAAAAGATAAGTATGACTTACCTTGTTCATCCATATATCTGTTCCAAAGAAGGCAGATATTATATGCACAAATATAATGCTGACCTGACACTCAGTTACATCAAATCTAAAATGTGTAATGAACTTTTAGAGATCCACTTTTATAATAAACAACATAACAAATAAACAACATAACAAATTACAAAATTTGACCAAAATCAGTCAAATTGTTTTTACTGAATTAAATTTTAAAATTTTTTAAAAATTCAAATTCTCTGGAACTATTCAAACGATTTCGCTTAGATTTTGTATTTTGCTATGTAAAATTACATTGTTCAAAACGATAACAAANAAAATGAACAAATTGAATTGTAAGCTATAAAAGTTTTGTTATCATTTTGAACAATGTAATTTTACATAGCAAAATACAAAATCTAAGCGAAATCGTTTGAATAGTTCCAGAGAATTCGAATTTTTAAAAAATTTTAAAATTTAATTCCAGAAAAACAATTTGACTGATTTTGGTCAAATTTTGTAATTTGTTATGTAAAATTACATTCGTTAAAATGATGTAAGAAATTTTATGCCTTACAATTTTATTTCTTCACTATTATTAAATAAAATAGGAAAAAATATGTAAAACTTACTTAATTTATTCTTTGCATAGAATTAACTTTGGATAAATAAACTTTATACCTGCGTGTAAACATTTTTTAACTCACTTAAAAAGCTCTCAAGTTACAGGAAAAAATGTAAAAAAGTAAAATTAACATGAAGGGATCCAAACTTTGTATTGCTCTCCTCATCAAACTATTAGAATCATATTTCCCAGATTGTGGATATTTTGGATCTCAGAAATTCAAGGATGTCGAAAAAAGATGCTTATTTCGAGAAAGTATATTGTGTCTTAATTTCGTGACTTAAAATATCATCTTCACTAATTAATTTGCATATTTGAGGTAACTTCCTTGAACCATTAAGATTGAGTCATACAATGTGAAGATCGGATCATTAGATCAAAAGTAAATCAGGGTGGTTCGTTTATTTGCTTGTGCACTGCACAATATTGAGCATGACATATAGCACATAACAGAATTTACAATAACTTTGTTGAAAAAGTGAACAATCCCCATAACTTTTGGAAAAACCAGCTTCTTCCCTTAACCATATAAATTTACTTACACATTATTAAAAACTCAGCTAAAATCTGTATTAACCAAAGATATATTATGTGGCTTTCAGGAGAACACCTACAAATATCAGTCTTGCATGGTGGTGGTTACTATGGTTACCAGGATAAATCACTTCGGAAAAGGGTTAAAAGTGAATGATTTTGCCATGGTCTTGGCACATGTCGACATGAGAATCTTTGCTTTACGACCAATCGACTACTTAATTCCTCCAAAGCACCCCCATGAGAAATGTGCTTTTTATTGTTATCATAGCAGCAGATAAACTTCAGACTTTTAGTCTAGAGTTCTTCTCCAAGCCCAATGGTGGATAATGCAATCTAGTAGTTTTTTGTTTACTTCAAATATTTTGGTTAAAGTTATTTATCTTATTTTTAAAATAAAAATCTTTGTTAATATATAAAGAGAGTAGTTATAATGAAATAAAAATAAAATTACTCACTTTCCGAATTTTAATGATCCAGTAATATATGTCTGCCAATGGGCACAATAAAATAAGCTAATAGCAATGAAACATTGAAAAAACATCCAATTGGAATATGCTCCTAGTTTTACCGCAATACATATTCCCAATGATACAAAAACTGTAAATTGAAATACACATATATTAGTTCGACAAAACTAATACACAAATTAGTTTATCAAAATTAGGAAATATAAAATATATCATTTCTATATCCTGAGATTTTACTAAAAGAGACTTGAAAACATGCTCTTATTACAACACTTTTATTACCATGTTTTATATTTCAAGAAAACATAAAAAATTAAGTTTACACATAATTATTTAATTATTTATTATATTTTATGACACAAAAGCATAGTTCTTGACAAGAAAACAGAATAAAGTAATTTAAAAATAAAATATTACAAGGTGCGTAGCCAAATTTTTCAGCAAAAAATAAGCATCTTTTAAGTACTTTTCAAGCACTAAAAAAATATTTTTAAGCATTTTAGAAAAATATTATAATTGGGTTATGCGCACTAATAATTTTTTCCCTTTATATTGTTGAAAGTTCTTCATCTATATGTTAACAAAATGCAAAATAGTTTTCTAAGTTACATGTTTATGAAAAAATAACTAGTTTCTGACAAAGAATTCACTGCGTGATTATATTAGCCACCATAAAAATAATTTATGCACAATTTAAAATACATTCAATATTGAGTGAATCATTCAATTTTCAATTTGATTTATAACTACTTTACACAATCATGTAAAAAAATTATTCCAAATTATAAATAATTAATTTAACAATTATTTAAAAAGATTTTCTCTCTTGCAAAATGCAGCAGAGGTGCTCATGAGAAAGCATGAATCCGTCCCACGGAATCCAGCTCAGTATTCGAACCTGCAAAGTATTTCATAAAATGATTGGCGCTTCCATATGCTACAGACCAATGGTATGTCGAAATAGATTGTGGTTGAATTAATTATAAAAACGTTGAATAGAACAATTTGAAAACCACGCTTTTTGAGTAGTTCGAAGCAAAAATTGATATGGTAAAGAAAAAAAATCTCATTTTGGAAAAGGGAAAATTAAGCACTTTTTAATAACACCAATGAAAAAAGCACCTTTAAGGGCTTTTAAAAGACGAAAATAAGCACCTTTAAGCACTTTTAAAAAGGCTACGCACCCTTTATTATGTACAAAAGTACCTGTTGATATTGAATCGCATCCATGGTCAAATAATTCTCCAAGAGGTGAACTTGACTCAGTTCTTCTAGCTTGTTTTCCATCACACGCATCAAGAGACTGATAAACAAATAATCCAATTGCTGCAAGAATAAAAGCCCAACTGGGTGGCTGTAATTGGGAGAGAAAAAAATTAATATCAAAATGACTTTCAACAAGAAAAATTAAAATTTACTTACACAACAAGATATAGAAAAAACCCTTTATTAATAATCAAAGTTATTTATTCAAGTATTCAGCAAGCAGTGATTCCACTTACTCACAGTTACGCATCAAATACACTAAAAATCATTTAAGGGACTCTTAATTAAAATTAACTTTAGATAAATAGATTTAAAAAAAAGTCTTTTCTGGGTTATTAGAAACTAAAAAAATTACATCAGTGCTTTTATATGATGCAGGTGTTTGATTAGTCCCAATTAAAAGTATCGATTGTTAAAATATATCTTTTTTCTTGTTTTGAAATTCTTCGCTTTGTCTATCAAATGATAGAAATTCATAAATTTGAATACTAGTAAATGAAAAAACAGGTAGGGAAATTCATATTTTAAATAAGTACCTGCTTTTAATATAAAGAGATCCAAAAATATAAAAATCCNAAACTAGGTGATTGAGATACCCCAAATTCAGTGCGGACCCTCTAATATCCCTGTCATATTTTTAACATTCTGCACCAACCGGTTTTCCGTTTGAACCATCCGGGGCAATCCCCTGATTACATCCGATTTGCTATTTTTATAATCCTTTATCAACCCCTCATTTTTTATGAGCCGTCCCTTTGCTCTTTTCTCTTAGATATGCCAGATATCCTCCACAATATAAGGAGCCACATTCGCAAACCATATAAAAGTTTAACATTTTTAAAAACACAAAGTAGCCTTCGAATTTTATTTCAATTGAAAATAAAGTAAAGTAAAAATAATTGATGGTTTTTGCAATAATTTTTCTTACAGGGGGTGGTCTGTGACTTCTTAAAAAATTTGATAAAGGGTCATTATACCAAAAAGGTTAAGAAACACTGATCTAAAGGAACCCTAATATTGAATCGAGTTAGCATGTCTTATATACTAGTGAATTGATATATAATAATCATAGTGGAAGACATATATACTCATAATACTTCCTCCCCCCCACACCAGAATTTTCCAAGGACAGAATTCAATGAACCAATACTACTAGTTGTGGTATTTGAGAAAAACCCAGAGAGCTGTATTAAGTTAACCGGATTTTGAGTACTTGTGGTGAGAGATGTAATTAAGTTCACAGTTATGTGTATGGCCTCTCCTGTGTTTCTATTAGGGGTCAAGTGTATGCAGGTGTCTGTTGTGTGTAAATGAGACTGAGAAGCAACAGCGTGAGGATGATGATGATGCAGTCACAAATAACAAATGAACTGTTCAATGTGGACCATCCATTGATAAGAAAGTTACTTTCGATGTAAGGGAATTCATATCACGTCCGCATCACCTATGTTGAGAGAGGAGTTATAGACCATGCCTATCTCTATCAACCTAGAGGTACTCCAAGATTGAATTGAGATAGCATGTCTTATATACTAGTGAATTGATGTTTAATAATAATAGTGGTAGTTACGCTACATAGTAAAATGACACCATCATTAGCATAGCAACATCCTCTGTTATGTCAATGAAATATATTTTTATTTCTTTCATTTTTTCAACTTAAAAGTTATAAATATTTTAGTGCGGCATATTCAAATGGATTTTAAATTACTGTATTGCTCTCTTCATTACAGTTAAAGTCAGCATTAATGAGACACAACAACATGTGACCGAAACTATAAAATAAAACAGTTACTACAACATTTCACAACAAAATAAAAGTCATCACACAGTTCGTAAACTTAAGAGCAGATTTCATAATGTAAAATATAGCTATTATATATTTAATAAATTTAACAGTGGTCTTTTTAACTTAAATGACACAATTACAGTCATTATATATTTACTGAATTTAACAATGGACTTCTTAACTTAAAATATGGCCACCCATTATATATTCATTAAGCTTAACAACCGCCTTCATAACATAAAATAAAACCATTAAATATTCAAAGAATTTCACAGCAGCCTTCAATTATAAAATATAGTAATAGAAGAACAGAAATAACGTACAAAGGCTACACAAAACTGAAGCATAAGGTAAGATAGGGGATATTTCCGTATCGTGATCTGTCGCGCTAACTACAATCGCCAAGGTGCCAAATAGATTTTAAACTTGCAAATTTTAAAAAAAATAAATGTAGATGTTTGTCCAGGGGTGGGTACGAGTTATACCTTTCGAGTTCCTCCCTTTTTGTGATGTTTTTTTCGTTTCTCACAGGCCCCTGCCCGGAAGTTTCCAAAACTTGACAATTATTCTAACGCAGATCACAATACGGAAATCTTCCCATAAGATATTATGATTAAATCTTAATCAGTGTCCCAATACAGAAAATGATGACAGTTTCAAAGATAATTTCGGTTCAGTAATTATAAATTTACATGAGTGTTGTAGTGATACTTGTTTAGAAATGTTTATTTTTAAGGTTAGCACAAGCATAAAATGTAGAAGGTAACTTCACCAGCAACTAATGATAGAATATTTAGGCTTGGTGTTTAATACCTGTGTTTCTGAAATACCATATAACTGCTTCGCAAATAAAATGCATAATTTTTATTTCTTCCATTATCTAATTGCCATGACACTTAAATAGCTTGACAGTGTTCAAACTATGAGCGCTTCTTTAGGGTTAGGACACTAAAGAAGGCTCTTAATTGTCAAACTGAAAGTATACTCTGTCTTTAAGTATATTTTGATATTCTAATAAGTTGCAATATTCTAATTTCTATTATATTGCTGTTTCCATGCATAGGAACATCATACAATTTAAATTTACTTTTCTTAAACTCAAAACTTAACAGAAAACGCAGATAAAAAATTAAATTTTACAAGGAAATAAAAACTATTATACCAACCTCATGCTCTGCATCAGGACTATAATATACAAGAATGAGAGTTGAAGCAATCGTTATAATAAGGCCACTAATTGTCATAAAATTAGGAGCAACCCAAAGAGGCAATTTGGTTACTAACCAGTTCCAATAGGGTTGAAGAATTGGATCTAACAATGTTGATCCACAACTATTATATTTATGTTCACTCAGTCTTTTCATCTGAGCAGGAGTCAAGATATCGCTGCTACTGAAAATCATTGTGAATCTAAGACATAAACAATCCTAAACTAAATAAATAATTTACACAATGTAGAGTTGAAATGGAATTTAAGTATAAACAAGCCAGAAAGAGACTATCACAAAATTTTAGGGAACACACAGATGGAAATTCTAATTATTTATCACATAGATTTAGTCAAATGCCGGCGATACACATAAAATGAGTCACAAATCTCTAGAATAAATAAAATGTTAAGAGGAAACCTTTTTTTGTTTTTTAAGACAACATTGAAAACAAACCGACGTATACGAAGAACTCAAGGCAAAATGTTGATTTTCTTATCTAATCATAATCTGTTATCGATTTCGCAGCAACTACTATTAACAATTACAGAGTTCTTGCAGTCAATGAATAATATATGCACACAAAAAAATGGTTTATCTTTAGAAAACAGATGGAAAATTAACTTGACGCTTCACTTATTTTTGATCCACACATGCAAAAAAATGATTTGTTGATGACATTGGAATTGAGTTGATAAAGGAAGGTTTAAATCTCTCCTTTCATTGGCTAAGACACATCATGCGTCATGAAAATATACTTCGGTTAAAAACGCGAGTCTGCTTAGTTTCGTTTTCTCTATTTGATGCAAAAACATATAGTTAAAAGCATATTAAAATGAAGTTAATGGTAATTTTTTTAAAAAAGAAATTGTAAGTTGGATTTTAACCTGAACGAAATTTAAAATACCTAAAATTGATTTTATCAATTTCAACAAATATTATTTTTTTAAACAATTATTCTTAAAATAGAAGAATAGAAATTTTAGAAAAATTATTTGCTTATAAGAAAATTATTTTAAATTATTTAAAATTATTTTATAAAATACTTTTGAAAAATTTAAAAAATAAATTAAAAGAGATTAATTAATAATGAGATTAATTAGTGCTTGAGATTAATTAATAATTTTTCAAATCTAAATAATCAATAATCGTCAAATTAATAATCGTCTCAAATCTAAACTGCACTGTCGGGAAAAAACACTGAGGACACAAAAAAGTAGGGGAAACAAATCCTTAGCTATTTATAAAAAATGATTATCAAAAATCAATTTCATGCGAAGAATAAATTAATTTAATAACGATGAAAAGTGTTAATTTTGAAGGCGTAAAAGGAAATTAAAAAGATAATTGCCGGANAAAATACTTTTGAAAAATTTAAAAAACAAATTAAAAGAGATTAATTAATAATGAGATTAATTAATGCTTGAGATTAATTAATAATTTTTTTAAAAGTCTCAAATCTAAACTGCACTGTCGGGAAAAAAACACTGAGGACACAAAAAAGTAGGAGAAACAAATCCTTAGCTATTTATAAAAAATGATTATAAAAAATCAATTTCATGCGAAGAATAAATTAATTTAATAACGATGAAAAGTGTTAATTTTGAAGGCGTAAAAGGAAATNTTCTGATGCAAGGACAGTTCCCTGCCCCCTACACAGACTGGTCGGCAAATTAAAAAGATAAGAGCCGGAAATTTGAGCGAAATCAGTTGATGTGAAAAAAAATAAAAAATTAGCGATTTCAAAAATTATTCGACATTTTTTTCTTAACACTGAGGTCTTATAACAATGATTTGATCAGTTACAAAATCGAACCATTAAGATTTCATTTCAATGCATGTAATTGCGAAAGTTATGTTAAGTCCAAAAGTTATGTATGTAAGATTGATTTTTTTTTCTTCTGACTCCCACTTTCGTTTTAGTATAATTTGCTGGCAAACATTTTTATTTATTTATTTATTTTTTACATTTTTTCGATGCATGTAAAAAACATACATATAATGCAATTTAGCGTCAAGGATCATTTCAAATGAAACATGATACAGGTAGTATCATTAAGTAAAACATTGTAAAACTTTATGACAACAAATTTTTAAAATTAATTTGGCCTACATGGGCAAATATTTCTGAATAGTAGCCTCTGCTGTTATCTATAGTCAATAACAATTTAAGGAAGAAAAAAGAAACATAAATCAGTAAAGTCAAGACATTAAAAATTTGCTTATCAAGAAAAATTGTTTCGATTACTCTATTTAAACGTGCAAAAAAAAAAAAAAATCGTTTATGCTACATTTAAAATTAATTAATAATGAAAACAATGTTTCGTATGGAACGAAATTTATTCGTTAATAGTAAGAGTATTTAACATTTATATTCTCTCAAATTTAACCTACAAATGTATGCTTGAAACAAATCAGAAGTTCGTGAGTTCAAAACATGCATTAAATAGTTTCCTGCTATGAAAAAAATAAATAAATTAAAACACTATTAAAGAACTTCTGACAGTAAGGAAAAGCATCTTTAAAATTTAATTCTAATCATGAAAATTTAATTTTATAAGTCATAACCATAAAATTATTTTAATAAATAATGTGCAAACTATCTAAAATTTGGAATTTTTTTAAAATTTTTACTTTTAATGACGAATAGCTTATTGGCATTTAAAAAAGAAATGGTTTTAAAAAATATCTCATGTTTTAGAAAATTATTGAGTGGTCATGTGTCTCCTTGGTGCTACGCCTATATTTGCGTTAAATGTTTCTTTTCTTTTTTTCCTATTTTTTCTAATTTTGGTACATACTTCTGTGTTACTGTATACTATTTAGTTATTTTAATAGAATATTATTATTTTCTAAATCATATATTTGCGTTAGCTACCGTTCACGTGACCTCAAGAATTACAAATCACAAAGCATTTTTTTTAGTTAGCTTTATAAAATGTAAAGCTTCATATAGTAGTAAAATATTCTCAATAGTATAGTAAAATATTCTCGATTGTGGTAAAATATTCTCAATTGTAGTAAAATATTCTCGTAAATTATTCTCGATTCCTTACTTAACGCTAATTAATTTTTCTCATATGAATTTTTTTGGGGTCGTTACTACGTTTGAATTCCGAGAGCATGTGAGTTGAATAACATTGTTTTTGCCGCTAAATTTCTTCCCTCTATGAATTACTCTTAAATAAACAAAATAAAGATAATAGTTTCGCCGTAGATGATAGGATGTGGGAAAAAGTGACTATGTATACATATGGAAAGTAAATAGTTCCATTCAAACTGCACTTCAAAGCGTTATCTCGACGATAGTAAATTTTTTAAGCGAATGTATTTTTTATTCTTTGCCTTCATCTGCTATCGAAAAATAGGAAATATATTTTAAGTTTTATAAATGAAACATAAAATTTCAAATTATTCTTCTAAAATAATAAAATTTTTAATAAGCAGAGAGTAAATAATGCTCTTCAAATGTTTAACGTTCATAATGTTTAACGCCTTTTTTTTTTTCCTTTTGAAATTAAGAAGTCATTTACTCCCAAGTGAGGTATCAAGTGAAAAAGAACGAAAGGGATTCTAAAGATGCTTTTAAACGCATTGATTTAATAATAAAATAATAATAGTTGTAATAATAAAAACTGATTATAGATATTTACTCTACGGCAATATCTATCCGCAATATCCCGCAGCGCAGCATTATCTACTCGGCAATACAAGGTTGTAAGTTAATTCGAAAGGGGAAAATATAGCTCACGTTATATTATAATTTTAATTGCATTTTTCTGGCAAAATAATATCAATGTAATTTGGCATCCAGTCTTATTTATTTTTCTTAAATATAGTTAAGTACTACGGATTCATTTATGAAATTTTGGATTCATATAAATATTTACTTTTTAGCGAAATTTATGCTTAGAGAATTTTTATCTAATCTAAATTCAGCATACTCTAAAGTTTTTTTCAAGACCTTAACATTCCTGTTTCTCTTTTAAATAGTATGATGTTGTTGAGTAATACTCATCACAGTGTCGTGCAGGGGTGTAGGTATGCCCGGGGTGCTTCCCCAACTCTCTGCTTGAGTGACTCTGAAATGAATATTGTTATCATTGAAAAGAACAAAAAAAAAAGTCAATTTAATTTAAGAAAGAAAAAAAAAACATATCTATAAAAATGTATATTCATATTCTAAACTCATTTTTACGAAACTGTACGCGAAAATTCGACTGAGGTAAAAAGAAAATTAATAAATAAATAAAAAATTCTGTAAATTTCTCTTAATGACTACAAATTTTAATGACCTTAGCGGTCAATTGGATATCTCTTCTGTCTGAGTACCTGGGGCCATTGTCCTTTTCACCAATCCCCAGGGACCGATCAAGACGAATTCCGGCCCAAGGCTTCCCCCCCCCCCGCAAATTTTCTGGGTCTCTTACAAATTATTTTGGAATTAAATTACTAAAGAGTAGTCCTAAAAATAAAAAAGAATCTATTCAACTTGCAAGATTTAAGAGAAACATTCTGAGAAATTTTGAAAGCAGACAATTGAGGATTATTTTTCTAAGATAAAGTTTACGTATTTATAAATTAAAGCAAAATATAAATCAACAAAACAATTGTATGTCAAAATAGAAACAGTTTGGTGACCACAAACAATTGAAATCGGTGATTTTTGCTTAAAGCCAGTGATTAGCTGAATTATTTTTATTCGAACTTGATTAGTGCATTACTTTCGAATTTGATTAGTGCAATGTTCATGTGAGTTTAGTTGCATCACGATACAAAGAAGATTTGAAATAAAAAATGCACTTTTTGAGAAAAACTTTCTTCCAGTAATATTGAGGAGTTTGAACTAATTTTTGGGACCCCTCAGAAATTGTGGGGCCTAGGCGATAATCAGGCCCTGCCGATCCCGCTTTGCACGTCACTGCAAATAAATAAACAAACAAACAAACAAACAAACAAAAGTTTTCTATTGAATACATTCAATTGCTTATGTATTTTTATCGTATCATATTAAATGCTGAAGGTATATCAAATAATGAAACTATTTTTTAATTTGTCTTTAAAAGTCCCATGAACAATGAAAATTTTAAAAAGAGAAGAAAGTAAAGAACAGAAATTAGCAATCCATTAGCAGGCCTTTAAAATTTTTACAAAAATTACATTAATTGTAGATATCAGTATGAATTCCAAGTCTTATATACTTTTATTTACAATCGATGACGTTAAACCTTGGATGAACAATAAAATAAATGCATTTTTATCATTGTCGGAGAGAATTACTCGCATAATAATTTGTTTCCGGCTGTTGTTTTGTTGAAAACTTTAGAAATTTAATCAATGAAAATATTTTATTGTTTTCCAAGTTAACTTGCACTAACAAGAATCGTTTTCATTTTAATTTTTTGATATCCCTGAATTTAAACTCCTCCACCATTTCCAAATTGAACTGATGTATATATTATTAATATGAATTTCTATTTTTTTTTCTGAGAAAAAAGAAATGAATATCAATGAATATTGATTATTTGAAAATTAAAATCGTAGAAAAAGTTGTTTTTTGTCAGTGTTTTATGCATAACTTATTTATTCTTTAAAAAATGAAAACGATTTTTTAATTTTTATCTATTATTCACATAGCTCTTATACAAATATATACATTGTTTTATGTATGAATAGTGAAGTTTGTAGCGTTTGAGAGTTTTGGCA